TCATCTCTACATCATTTCATGGAGAAGGAACCCATCAGGTTATCTTCCGCCTGTTCCTGAATTGGGAAAAAGGCCTGTCAAAACACCGCGAGATGGCAAAGGGTGGAAGGTATGAACAGTAGGCTATTCATTCCCTTGTTTTTATTTTTTATTTTTATAATTCAGGTATACAACCTTGGGGTGTTTCCCAAAATTGAGTAATTCTATTGCTGTTTCTTCTATTTTTCAGGCGCGGCGAGATTGACGGAAAATATCTCAAGTGCAACCTCTACTCCCGCTTTGATGTTTAATTTTCAAGTATTTGTTTCTATAATTTAATTATTTTACGCATTTGGAACTTAAATGTACATAACATTGTTGATTATAATTTTTCAAGTATCTATTGAATTTGAGATACAGCCCCAGTGACATGAATTTCATGCTATAACTCAGCGAACAAATCACGACTGTGAGCCCAAGCCCGATTCCCCAGTTTCCTCCGACACCAAACAATGTCGTTGTGGCCATGGCGCTTGCGAAGTCAAAACCTCACGGAGTGGCAGGAACTTCTATGCCTACCCCATCAAAAGGGTATGATTCCTGTTAAGTTTTTTGATATAAGAAAATATAGATTGATAGACATTAAAACTATTTTATATAACATTAATTTACTGGCAATAAAAATATGATGAAAAAATAATTGTCAACCAAATTTGTAAGAGTTGAGTAAAGATGATTAAAAAGTTACGTCAAACCTGGTCAAAATAATAATGATATTGATGTGCAAATATATTAGTTTTTGCTATATAATATAATTATGAATTCAACCTCCATCAGTTTCGAAGACAAATTATATGATTCAATTAATCTAAAGTGTATTTTTTTATGCGGTTTAACTAAATTAAAATAAGTGTAAATTAAAACATATTAACGGTGTAAAATATTTTTATACAATCATTTAATCATAAATTGTCTTTTTATGATAAAATTTTTAAGTTTTTTATTTAAAAAATAATATTGATAAGTTTTGCTATAATTGCTTTAAAAATTATATTTAACATGATTATAGTTAAAGGTCATACACAAGCGTTTATGAAAAATAAACTCATTTAAAACTCCATTATTGCATAAACTAATTTTTTAAATTATTTTCATTAGATCCAATCTGCAAAGTTTCTTTTTCTTCCTCATCATCACAAATTTACAAAGTGGTATTTAGCTATATATTTAAAAAATTAAGACACGTGCACATACATATTAATCACAGGATAAATGATATCGTTTAACATAAATATTGATTATATTTTCATATCCTTGTTTCTTAAAAAAAATAAAATAAATAGTAAGACCCTTAGATTGCATCAACTCATGAAGCCAATAGTTTTGTGTAAGTGTGTGTCGGGCAATGTTTTTTTGAGTACCAGAAATGTACATGTTATAGTCTATTAGCAAGTACTACTAAGATACACGATGCCACGCACTCATCTCATCTTCGCTCAGCTGACAAGGCAATTATCGAGAAGGTCAGGGTAGTGGAGGGCCTAGACTCTGCGGAGGTCTTCATGTAGAGGTCGATCACCATTGTGGATCATTGGACGTCACGTCCATCCAGGTTCCTACTATGAAAGCATTTTTCCCTCCCCTCTACGCACGCACTTCCTTTTCATCTCTTTGGCTTCCCTCACACATTGTTCTCTCCGTCTCCTACCTCCCTTGTTTCTGTTCTACTTTCCTTCTTGAAGCTCTTGTACGACTAGGAGTAAAGCAAAAATAACCCCCCAGCCTTACTCCCATTCAGAGACACCTAGCCTAAGGGAGGCTCACCCAGCTTGAGCTGGTAAAAATGGAGAAAAACGAGCAGTGACAACCCTATCCCCAGGGCCGAGCACAGGACTTGAAAAGCCCTCAAAAAACCCCAACTATTGGGGTGCAGCTGGCATGGAGCCGCATTGATGAAATTCAAAAAATCACACTCAAACTGTGTGAAGGGAAGACATACGCCCAGGTCCCTGAAGAAACACTAGTACACGTAGAAAAAAGGGATAGTGGAAGTACCCCCCATATACACATGCTCACCGGGTTGGCAAGGCTCAACCCGGATGAGCTTGGAAATGGCTGCTTGGCAGATTCTATGCGATTTCCACATCGCATTAACCTCAATAAACGATTTAAAGACGCTCTAGAATTCTCCAACGTCCCCCCTGACCCATTCATAGCCAGGAGCGGTAAAGTTTAAGTGTGATTTTTTGAATTTCATCAATGCGGCTCCATGCCAGCTGCACCCCAATAGTTGGGGTTTTTTGAGGGCTTTTCAAGTCCTGTGCTCGGCCCTGGGGATAGGGTTGTCACTGCCCGTTTTTCTCCATTTTTACCAGCTCAAGCTGGGTGAGCCTCCCTTAGGCTAGGTGTCTCTGAATGGGAGTAAGGCTGGGGGGTTATTTTTGCTTTACTCCTAGTCGTACAAGAGCTTCAAGAAGGAGTTCTTCCAAGTTCGTCATACCGAGGCCGACCCACTAAAAGATGAAGTCTTCCACTTCGGCGGGTTGCCGAGGTTTCCTCTGTTCTGGCAGCAGAATCCGATCAAGTTCAACGGGTCAAACAGTCTTCAGCTGATGACTTCGGATATTACTGTCGTTGCCGACCTAGTTGTGCTCCCTCGCCCCTTGGATTGCAAGCTCGTCTTGTCGATTGCTAACTTGGAAAACAAGGAGAGGAGTTTAGAGAGTGATTATTTCATCCCCTTAGTTTTTAGATTCTCTATCTTTTCTTTCTACTTATGTGTATGGCTTTTGTGCTTGCAGGTATAATGGGGAGAAGCAAGTGGCGCGAGTTGAAAGCCTGCTACAAAGTGGCTGAGGTCAAGGTTCCTGAGCTCGGTGAAGAGGAGGTTGCTCCTCTTGACACCCGCAAAAAAAGAAAGAGGGAAGAGAAGAAGGCTGGGGAGACCTCAACCCCACGTGACGCTGAGGAGGTGACCTCAAAGGCCGCCGATGCCGACCCAGTCGACCTGACTAGGAGTCCTTAGCTTGAGGGATCAGCTAGAGTGGCCGTGGAGGAGGTCGCTCGTGAGACGCAGGTTCGTGTCTTTCTTCTTATTATTTTTCTTTCATACTGTGTGATTTCCTCAAACAAAGTAATACTCTGAGAGCTCAAGAAGCGGCTAGGAAGCGCCAAAGGACAATGGGCTGAAGAGCTCCCCAACATTCTCTGGGCGTACCACTATACTCCCCAATCAACAACGCAGGAAACGCCTTACGGGCTGCCCTATGGAGCCGATGCCATGATTCTAGTGGAGGTCAGCTTAGAAAATTTTTCATGTTGTGTGTAGGCTGGACCTGTGCCAACTGCCACCGAGGCACGGGTGGAGCCGAGCTCAAAGGCACCAGGGCCGAATGCCTCAATTGTTGAGCAGGAAACTCCTACTTCAACTCCCGCTGAGGTCCACGGGGAGGGATCGAGCTCTGCAACCCAGACTCCGACTCCTGTAGCCGCTGTGTTGCCTCTTCCCCCGTCAAGGGCTCCAAAGGGGAAATTCATCGCGCAACGCTTCAATTTGAATCGCCCCCTATCGAGGTTGGATCACGTGAGCGTCTCATCGGATGTGGACTCCATGTGGAGTTCGAAGGTGACTGCCGAGACCTTCTACCCTCAAGGTTCACTCCGCTCAGCTGACAAGGCAATTATCGAGAAGGTCAGGGTAGTGGAGGGCCTAGACTCTGCGGAGGTCTTCATGTAGAGGTCGATCACCATTGTGGATCATTGGAAGCGCAAGTGGTTGAAGCTGCAGGGGGAGCTCGAGAGTGCTAAAAGCCGGGTTCGGCCTTTGGAGGAAGAGAACAAGGCCTTGGGGGTCACTCTAAGCGAGACCAAGAGGCAGAATGAGGCCGAGCTGCAAGCCACAAGGAGGGATCTTGCAAGAACTTAGAAGTCTTTGGAGATTGCTCTAAAGGCTAATGAGGTTTATGCTATCCAAGATTCACTCAAAAGCACCAACACTGCCTGTCAGTGTTCTCCGGCATATTCATTGTTCGGCTTTTGTTATTATTGCCTTTCTAATTTTGCCCTAGACTGAGTGGTTATTTGTTTATTTAGACTATTTCTGACTATTAATTATGAATGCCATTACTTGGTTTTTTTTTTTTTAATGCTTGAGCAATCATACATGTGTGTGTGTGTGTGTATATTATAATCATAGCAAACTGGCCATCCAGCTATAGCATTTTTGCAGTTGACCACTCAACACCAATGTCCAGAAACAATAAATACGGACCAAAGTATTAAAAAGAACTTATAAGCACGTCTGTTTGGGAGGACTTTATGACAGCTCAGATTTGTAGTTGTAGGTTCTGAATCTCTTCAATTCTATAAAATAGGGTTCAGAGACTGTTTGTAACAGAGGATGCACAATTATATTATCAATAATGATATATGGAGTTATGGACACCTTATATTACAAACACCTAGTTAACATCCATCACTTGTATTCCTATCACATTATATAACCAGTCGTACCTACATTTTTCCCTCCTTTTCTAACTCAGGGTGTGTTTGGTAGGATGGAAGAAATGCGTAAGAAATAAAGATGAGAGAAGTACAAAAGGGAGAAAGAGAGTGAAAATAAGGGTGTTTTGGTTTAAGAGAAACAAGGAAGAGAGAAATACAAAAAATAAAAAATAATAATTTTAAATAAAATAATTAAATAATTGATTAAAGTTTTTATCTAATTGATTAAATAAATAAAAAATAGATCAAAATTGCAACTGATTAGACCACCATTAATACATGCTTATCGGTGAAAACAACAAAAACAATGGATTAGTGATTCATTTCTATAGATTGTTTTCCAAACGTACTGTAGATGTTTACTAGCACAGCCGCACAGGAGTGATCCATGCAACATTTTCCTTATATTATTCACACAACACTTTCCACAACTCTTATGTTTTTCATCTCTTTCCATCACATCACAATCTTATCAAAATATTTTCTCACTTCTCTTACCATCTCTGCCCCATGTCCTATTAAAATAAAGTACCCTAAACTAGCATTCCTCTTGCACAAATAATCAATCTATTATGAACCCGAACCTTTCAAATCCAGACACTCAACCCAAATACAGGACACGCAGAAGCATTGATAATTGACACCCAACAATCTAAGAAAAGCCAGAGGCAACAAGCAAGAAGAACACGCAGTAAAACATCTGCAATCTGATCGGAGAATACCTTATTGCGAACCATGCCGCTGATTTTGATAATGTCACATTGTATTTCATCGTCGAGTATTTTTATCGCCTGAAAACAACCAAACCAACAACCAACCGTCCATATAAGTTAAACAAAACAACGAAAATGAATTCATGAACTCTTTCTGAATATATATATACACACCTGAGGAGCAGGAACACTCCGTGACAAAAGCTTGATGAGATCCCTAGCTTTGATGATGATATAGGGATCCCTAGTCTTTCTGGTGGTTGAAACGGTCATGGAACCCTCGACCTGCGAATGAAGGTGAAATTAGGGTTTACGATTGAAAAAAAATGAGGGAGGGAAAGGGAAGTGAGTCAGGTAATTACCAAATTGAGTTCGCACGCGACGCCGAATTGTTTGAGAGAGGATTTGACCATTGGCCATGCTTCTTGGAGGTACTTTTCGCGGTACTGAGGGAAGAGAGTGGAGAAGGAGCTTACTTCGAGCATGCCGCCTTCGTTCCAGGAAGGGTCGAACTTGTCGATTTTCCAGTGGTCGATGTTGGGGTCGTCGTCCCATGGCTTGGGCTTGTCGTGCTTCCCCTTTCGCTTCTCCTTCGGCGCCACAGCTTCGTTCGCCGCGCCGTTCTCCTCCTCCTGGTGGTTCTCCATCGCTGCTTTCTTTCCGGTGAAGAAAGAATAAAGAAACAATTAAATAAACTCCTGCATACTGTATATTTTGACGAAGTAAATGCTCACCTGCCGCTGGGAGATCTGAACTTGCGGGAGAAGAGCCGGTGGGTGAGGGAGAAGAAGAGCGGAGCAGCGAGGGAGGCGCGGCTTAGGGAGATAGAAGAAAGGGCGCGGCGTGAGAGAGAGATTGAAGGGTGAGAGTGATGGAAAAGGAAAAAGACGTTGCGAGGGGAAGGGAAAGATAGAAAAGGAAAATAAGACGCGCGCACTCCGCCGGTGCCCCAGTTAGTGAGAGAAACCCTATTTCATGAACCAAAACAATTAAAAATTAAAACGACTCTTCGTTTTCCATCCCTTATTTCACTCACAAGTTGAACCTCTGTTTTTCCTCTTAGGTCAACATTCTCATTTTTATCTATCGTCGTTTTGTTCCGTGGAATCTGCATTGCTAGCTAGTAGTAGCAATTGATTGTTGTTGTTATTGTTTCTATTACTTTCAGGAGATGAAGAAGGTTGAAGCGTTTTTAAACCGCGACGTCCCGGAGTGCGTTGCGAACATAGCTATGGAACTCGGGAGGAATCTCCGGTGGCTTTGCTCCGTCAAAAGGGCATTGGTCACCGGGGCAGGCATAGAAGTTCTTGCCACTCCATGAGGTTTTGACTTCGCAAGCGCCATGGCCACAACGACACTGTACGGTGTCGGAGGAAACTTGGAAATCGGGCTTGGGCTTGGGCTTGGGCTTGGGTGAAACGGGCTTAGTAGGGGATTTGTAAGGATAAAACCAAGACCAATGTCCAATTTGTTCACATTTGTAGCAGGTATCTTATATTAAACGTCTACTATTTAATAAATTTTATATAACTTTTCTTTTTTTTCATAATTTTGTGAAGATTTTTAATTTTTTTTATGGCAATTTTGAATATTTTAATCACACCTTATTTTAAAATAGTTTCTCATTTTGAAGATTAATTATGTCTTTTTATTTTAAAATTAAATTTAGTTTTCTTTTAGCTATTCATTTTCTTTTATTTAAAATCTTCAACTTCATATTCATATATATATATAT